TAATATTTAAATTTGCAAAAACGAAATTTATTTTAATATTGGCATTTAAAATGACCAAATTAATTTAATTAAGTTAACATCACTAGTTACAGTCAGACCTCTTTAAATGCGACCTCCCTAAATGCATAGTCTATGACAAATGCATGGCCTTAATTCATATGATACATATGACTTTTTACCTTTCTACATGCAATACTTCTCTAAATCTGTAAATGCAATATTTTTTGATTTTTTTATATGGAACCCTCGGACACTTGTAAAACTTCCGTTAAATTTAACTTCCATTCCACGGTCGTTGTGGAAAAATCCATTGATTATTATTTTGAACAAATGGTTGTGTATTGAGAGTCATTTGTTGCTGCGTAACTTGTTGTCGTTGAACAACATTTGGACGCATTGCTCTGTAAAGTACCATTTGAGGTATGTTCAATTGCAATTGTGGTGTTTGCTCTGAAATCACCCCTTGCAATTGTTGTTGATTTATGGGAAATTGCTGCTGAACCATGACACTTTGATTATTGCCTATTATTTGCTGTTGCGTTGCCATCATCATATCAACTTGCTGTTGCGAGTTACCAACTTGCACTTGAGGTGTGAATCGTCTCTGAATCACTGTAGGATTAGTTACTTGATTCACTAGCTGATTGGGAACCTGTCCACGTATCTGACCAGATAATTGTGCTTGAGCAGCCTGTTGGTGCCTTCGAAGTAATACTAAATACTGATGATAAGGAATTACTCTTCCATTACTAAGAGTGATATTTTGGTTTGGTTGTGGAGTATTTTGTGCAGAAGCTAGTTGTATTTCATTATGAATTGGATGTTGACTTGTTACTGGTCTAGGTGTTATTACGATAGGAGATTGGCCTGGAATTTGTCCAGGAGATTGCATAGGTGTATTTGGTGCTGATCGTTGTGAGGGTTGTGTAATTTGAACTTGTTCAGCTGATGGCATAGGTGTTGAAGGAGCAGATGTTCTTGAGGGTGGTGCAGGAGATTTCATTGGAGTTCTCGGAGATCTTTGTACAGGATGGACTTGTGTTTGTTCCTGTAATTGCAAAGGAGTTCCAGGTGTTGACTGAGAAGTAGATTGTATCTGATTTGACACTTTAATGGGATTCTTTTGAGCAGATATTTGATTTTGTTGTGCAGGAACAATAACAGGATTTTGGTTTGGTGGTTGTCTTGATGGTTGAGGAGACATTGTTTGTTGTAGTTGCATTACCATTTTAGGTGGAGGTATTTTTCCAGGGTTAGAAGGCTGTACAACTTGGTTTGTTGTAATACCTTGCCTTGGTTGATGAATTACCATTGGTGATGTAATCTGAACTGCTTGCTGAGTAGGCATTTGAACATTTATTGGCATTTGATTTGGGGTTTGTGGTTGAGCAGGCATCTGTTGATTTGGAAGTCGAATCATTCCTTGCATCGGAGGTTGTGGAGATGTCATCTGAACTATTGGACGGTTTGGAATTTGTGGACGAGTTTGTGGTGGTTGTATAGATTGGGGATTTTGTGATATTTGCATTGGAGTTGATCCCTGGGCAACCATTTGTTGTTGTTTTATAACGGGTCTCATTGGTTGCTGTGGTTGCTGTTGTTGCTGTTGCTGTGGTTGCTGTGGGCGTACATAACGCTTTGTTGGGCGTGGAGGTGGAGGCATCGACGACGATTCTTCAGCATGTCTTTTGATTACGGCTGCCGTGTAGAGATCAGAAATTGATGTAATTTCAGCCTTTGTACCATCTTCGTTAGTGTATTCAAACGTGGAAGATTTGATTTCAGGTGTGGATTGTTTAGTAAGAAGCTCTAGTATTTGGTAAGGTTCACTCTTATCAATGCTATGATTATTAAATAATTCATTTTGATTTGATTCTTGAGAATATTCCTCTGCTAATCGAACAATTTTTTCGGCATAAATTTTATTGGACCGCTCAGAATCGTCCAACAATTTATTGTTCATCATATATAAGACAACAAATGATTTAACGAACGTTTCATAATCTGCAGTATTCTCAAGTTCGCACCTATTTTATTGTAAATAGGTTAATAAAATGAAATTAAACTACAAAACTTAAAATAAATAACATATACTTGAGTGTTGGTTTACTATCATCAAGTTTAGAAAGATATCTTGAACATAAGGATGATGTATGGTCTCCATGTTCCTGCATATCATTTCCTTTGACCGCATGAACAATGACTTCATATTTGTCATTATTATCACGATATATGTAGACCAAAGTGTAAAGAGGATACTCTTTATTATCTAAAAAAGAACAAAAAAGTATATATATATATGATTAATGCATTTAATATTGTTGAAGAAATCAATACGATACTTGCCTGTTAAATCAGTAAATTGTCTTCGAAATTCTATGGTCCTTATAGGGTTAGAAGTATTCGTGATTGTACCTCGTACTGTTATAATAATGAAAAAAAGAACAATGATTATTTTATAGGTCGAATGAAACATTCAAATTAAACATGATTTATAATATATTTTCCTTGTTCAGAAGAAGATTCTAATTCAACCCTATTTTTTCCTTTACCAGCTAAATGCTGATTAGTTTCAGTAACTTCACTCTCTTGCTTGCGGAAGTATTTTATTTGATTATACTTTGGAATGAATTCCTTGCCAACACGCTGATAATTGAATCGTAAATTATTTAAAATATGGATAATTAAACTAATCAACGGGAAAGTTTGTCAGAACATACATCGTCCATCATAAACATCATCTTTTCAAGTTTGACACGTTTGGCGTCCTCCAATTCAACTTCATACGAATTAAGCTTTCGTTTTTTCTTTTTCAATTTTCTATGTGTAGGTTTGACAAATGTATCGTTAGTCGCTTGATCACGACGCAACATTGGATCAGGGTCCAAGTCAAGTTGCGGATGTAGTGCAAGCTTTTAGTGGATCAAATTCAATTAAAAGAAATTTTTAATAACTTATCATAATATCATAGGAAAGCATAATACAAGTTTATAAAAAAAAAGAAAATGACCTTACAAGCAATTGTGCTTCTACCTGAATGGCTTGTTCATGGGTCCATGAGCCACCCGTTTCTTGGTTTAATCGCAGAATTTCATCCCAGATGGATGATTGGTTATGCTTCAAAATTGACCTCTTGCCATTGCATTTTGGTTCACTCCGGTGATCCAGGAATTCAACTACAACGCAGCCTGAAACATAATCAAGAATGAAATTAATATTCTATCATTTGAACATTTAACCATAGAAAATAATAATGTATATTTGCCATCATAAAATTTGTACTGGTTTACATTTAACTCCGAAGTCCCATCCTAAAATGATAATTCGTAAATAAAAAAAAAAGGGAAAAAAAAAATTCAACACATTTCTACGAACTATATTCAGAAATTGATTATATGAAAAATCATAGTAATTTTTTTTTTAAAAAAAATCATACCAAATTTTTGAATTCTATACGTTTATCATAAACGTGAGCGTAAAGAGAAACTTGTGAACTATCGAGGTTTTCTGAGAATTGATTTGACATTCTTCGTCCCTTGACTACTACTCAGTCAAGCACAAAAAAAAAATAATAATAGTAATGTTCAAAGGTTTTTGAAGCAAAAATTCTTTTCACCACAAAAGTCCAACGGAAACAATTTTGAACCATTCGAGATCTATAAGTGGATAGAGTTTTTTTCCGTCGTGTAATACCACAAAACGGAATCCTTCTGCTATTTATGATATATTAGATCACGTGAAAGAATTTTCCATGATATACTGATACATACCTAAAATTCCGGTAAAATTGAATTTAGTATACATAAATTAAATACATATTTAACAATGACAACTATAATTCGAATTATTTCGCTTCGTCTGTGGTGAGAGCCCTTGCAGTTATATATGTGAGAAAGAATTAATTTTGAATCTCTTTCATATATGCACCTTATAGTCATAATAGTACTAGGATAATTTCAGTCATTTTATAGCCTTGATATTTTTGGAAATTTCCACGATGCGGTAAAGTTCGATCAACTTTTAAACATGGCCGATCATTTCACTATGTTCACGGACGCTTCTTTGGAAGTATAGACACGTAATAGAATAATGAATTATATTTTATATATAATAAATAATTTCATATTGACCATTTATATACTGTATATATACAGTCATACCCCTATAGTCACCCCCTCTATAGTCACTAGTCACAAAATTAATATTACAAATTTATTGTTACCAATTATTTATAACTATATATATAGAAAATACCTCTATATTAGTCACACCTCTTTATAATCACAGTATTTTGTATTCCAACGGTGTGACTATAAAGGAGTTTGACTGTATATATTATAAATAACCAGTGAAATTATAGAATTTAAATAGAGAAGCTACAAGTGGTTTTTAGACATAGCAGATAATAGATCAAAAACTTTAAATAAACAATAAATAAAGTTGTACATACATTCATCTGTATTCTTGGATAACTTTATTGCATAAATGCGCTAATAACTCAACGTTTCACGAAAAATGCTGATAGCGATAGAGTAAAAAGATCTTATCTTTCGTCATATCAAAGAATGTATAGTCTATTCTAGTCTTATTTTAAAAACGATCATGTGATAGACTCTGTTACACTAAATTGGTAATGCGTGTAACAAAGTGACAAGTATAAAGGCATGTGTGATCCTGAGAATTTATTATATTACCGTTTTTTTTCGCAAAATATAAACTTTTCAAGTGTAAAAATGATTGAACTTAATCACGATTGCCTTTGGCAGATCTTCTCTAATTTGGAACAAGATAAAACCTCTCTACACGCGGCGGTATTGGTTAATCACACCTGGTGTAAAGTCGCAATTCAATTTTTGTGGAAAAAACCATTTCGTTTCTTATATACATGTCGAAAAGCATGCACATGTTTGACCGAAAGTCGACACAAAAAAGCGAAAGGTCTTCTTGCTACTTTCATTACCTGTATTGCTCAAAATCAAGCTTCATCTGCCATTAATATGCAAGACTTTGTAATATGGACCAACACACCACGCACAGCCTTCGATTATTCATGCTTCTTGCGTCACATCGACCTTCATGATTTGTTTTTAGCTCTTATGGATGGCGTCAAATATTTAATATCTCATAAACATCTCGATTATGTAATAGCTTTCCAACACATCACAAGATTCCTCGCACCGGATGATAATTGGGAAAGCGCAGTTATTCAAGAAATGGCTCGCGATATCTGCAAGCTCTTGGTATCACATTGTTCTAATTTAAGATACTTGTCAATTGATATGGCTAATAAACAATGGTCAAAAGAAAATCATCGATGCTCAAGCCTTCCAAACATTTCTTTCTGGATCACTGTCAAAGAAATACCGGAAGAACTTTTATTGATCCCAACATACCCAGGTGCCACCAAAAGTTTATCACAACTGGTGGAATTTTATTGGGGTGCTACGCATTGGACATCTGAATTTTTGATCGCCTTATCAAAGGTTTCTAAAAGACTTCGAACACTCATAATTGACATGTCAAATTTCGGTAGAAATGAAAGTAACGATCATGCGCGGAACCTAGGAACCTTAATAAAAGTGCAAACAGCTTTACAAGAAATCCAATTCATCAAATGCAAACCACGTGTTTTACCATCAATCATGCAAGGACTTCGCACTCAGGCGAAATCTTTGCGTTATTTTCACTTTCAAGGAATGGTAAAAGATTGGAGCGTATTTTCAGAATTAGTGCATTTAACCAATATTCAAGAATTGAGTTTCGTTAAAGCCAACTTTCGATGTAGCGAGATTGAGATGTTAGCATCATCAAGTTTCCCAAGTTTGACGAAACTTGTTTTCGATACTACTAGTTTTCGTTTTCCAATTATCATACCTGAAATTATCATACAAAGTTCAGGGAGAAAACTTAGGACATTTTCGTTACCAGCATATTTTTATCCATCATATGATGGATTTACTCCAACAGTTGCGCTGTCTGTTGCTAAATATTGTCCAAATCTAGTGCATTTCGAATATCATACCACTAAAAGAGAATTTTCACAGTTGGTAATACTTTTCGCTTCATGTCAAAATCTTGAAAAAGTTATGCTTGCTGGTAATCCAGAAGATGCAAATGAATTATTTATAAAACTAGCTAATTTGGAACTACCAAATTTACGAGAGTTTGAAATCACCGCACAATGGTCTTACACTGCAATATCATTGGAATCATTTCTCATCAGATCGAAAGCACCGCTCCGATGTTTTGTAATCAGGTCTTCTCCATGCTTCTCTGATGATCACTTGGATGTCGTTTTACGATGTTTAGGCGACAAATTACATCGACTATATGTAGAATCAGCACAAGAAATGACTAAATTGATGTTATCAAAAGCTAATGAAAGTATTAGCGATTTTGTATACAAGATGATAGATGAAGTTTACAATCCCGGGTGGCTGTTAGAAGGATAATATTCAGTATATTTTATTAATTTCGTTTAATATAATTATTTTTTTAGTTATAATTTAACGACTTACCAAAAGTCATTATGTATATATCCCTAAAAGAATACTAGTATTATCAAAAAATTTTTTAAAAGAACTAGTTTTTTTTTCTTAAAAAAAAAATAATAATAGTAAAAATGTTTTTTCACTTAATTGTTCTTTTCACATGCATAATATTTCATGATGTATAGAATTAGTTAATTGGAAATTTGTTATATAATAATTATATAAATGACAAAATAAAAAGTTTGTTTTTAGGCCAAGACATCTTCATAGAAAAGTAAGTTCAATCAGTATTGTATTGTTAATGTTTCAATCACTTTTAACAAACAGTGCAATTTGGTTCAGAACAAAATCACACGCAAGATTTATGACTTCTTAGTCGAAACGTTGCGACGATGGTCTGCTGAAAAGATGTATTGTTAAAGAAAAACAAATTTATCCAATTATAGATATACTTAAGTAAAAGCCAAGTCTGTGTAAGAAGTGATCTTGAACAACAAATCACGATTCCACCAGAACACAAATTATGACATCAATTCTTAAAACACAGGGAAGAGTCGAAGTAATGGTTACCCGAAAAGACCACTTGTGTCACTTTGGATCTGAACTTGCGGAGCGGATCTTTGGAAAAAAAAAATAAAACACGGCTAGTTTGGGTCAAACATGATATTATATAATGATATAATTTTGATAAAAAAATTATTTCGCAGTTTTTATAGGAAATTGATATTTCCACACCCTTTTTTGATATTGCCACACCCCTGTTAATAAAAATCAATATAAATTATTAGAGTTCGGTTAGGGTTTAGAGTTAGCAGGGGTGTGGCAATATCAAAAAAGGGTGTGGAAATATCAATTCCCTAAATAAATTATATAAGATATAATATAGTTCTCCCATAAAATTACAGTTGGTACATAGTAAATTTTTTATATGACATGATTATGTAGGAAGAGACTATATAGAGGGTGACTGTAGAAATTATATTATTAAGTTGTCTTTTTTTTTTTTTTTTCTTTTTTTTAGTGAACATCAACTATAGTTTAAGAACACTTATAGCTATTTTTTTGTTCTCATGAGAACAGTCATTAAGTCTGAGATTTCGAACACTGTATGTGAAATAGAAAAATAATACGTCTTGAAATTTCTTAGTTAATTACTGTTGTAATAAATCATACTGAAATGTAAAGTTCTTCAAACTAATACCATCATGTTACTACTATTGATTCGCTTACTTCAAAAGAAATTGTCGAATTTTGGATAATGCAGTTAATACTGCTATCCTTCCCTCCGGATTTGCAAGATCAAGACCACTTAGTTTTTTATTCTCTCCTGGCCATCTTTTGATTGCAACAGAATATTTTTTTGGCAAGCCTTTGCCAAGCTCCTTCCAATATTTCACCGGAATCTTAGCCTTGTAAAACGTAACATAGGTAGAGATAAAGCGAACAGCAAATAAAACCTGATCAGAAATCTCACCAGTCTCACGTATGTTTTCATCACCACAGGCAAGTATTTCGCCAGCAATTTGCATTTCTCCATAGTGATTTTTAGGATCAACGTTTCGCAAACTTTTATCCTGTCAAAGATCTATTTAAGTAATCAAAGATTATTGACTTGCCAAACAATCAAAAAAAAATACATACTTCTGTAGCAACCATAGATATTGTTCCTTTTTTAACCACAAAGTCAGGAGTTGCCGAAACATAGGGCTCATTTAAAATATATAGTTTACTTGGTGAATGGAGTCTGATTTTGAAGAAACTTCAAGAAGTCATTGGAATAAGGTAATATGGCACAGGCTTCCTCAAGTTACTCACGCTATTTTAAAAGGATAATTATTCAGCCGAGCGATACGAAGAAGATCATCAACCAAGTCATCAGTGCTGGACTCGGGTATTCCTGGTGGGCTTCTCGTGACGAAATGCAGTTTATCAAAGAAGGTTTGAACGAGCCCACCGGAAAAATCACTTATTTCTCGAACTTCAAATTCTTCTTTACTGAGAACATCTCTATTTATTTTGGGGCAAATAAAGTTTTCTGGAAAATCTTCAATTTTTTCATCAGGAATAACGAGATCTTCGGATGCTGGCTTAAAATTCACTCTCAGTGCTTTTACATCATTTTCCGTAAACTTAGATGCTTGAATATTGATGTGATTCGGATGATTAAGCAGGCTTCTGACTATATTTCGCGAACCCTTAGGGGTTGAGAAAAATTTGACGAATGCAGACATTGAAAAAAAAACCCCCGATTATCGAGTAAGCCATGTGCAAATGTAATTTTTTATAGGATCCTAGCCAGTGATGTAAATTGGATACGCGCAGTACACGCAGCGTACATGCTCTTAGTTTTTCTGCGTAGCGTGTTAGGCAGCACTTTTCTTAATAGCGCCTATTATTTTTTAGTTTCAGCATATAGAGCGCATATGAAATTAATGAGTTACGCTTACTGTATGATTTTTATGGATAATGTACTAACACTGATCCTAGCGTTACCAACCTAAAAAAAAATTCTAACGTTGGATATATTTGCTTTGAGTTTAGGTTACATCTGATCTTGAAATTTGATTTGACCAGATAGCGAATTTTTTAGATTGGTAACACGGGCATTTTTTTTTTATAGCATCTTCGAAGGCTAATTAGACTATCGGGTCATGCGCAAATTGAGATTTGTTTTATGGTAACAGAAAATTGTATTTGTTGTCACCTTCAAAGACTCGGAACTAGGTATTTCTCACCTTTCTTTCACTATGTAAAGATAAAACATACAAGCGGAAAATTCGTTTATTATTGCAAAGTCGAGACGGAAGGGCGAATTTCATGACCAAAAAATACCAAAGGTTATATAGATATGAGAAATTAGAAACATGCGATATTTGCAGATTTGATTCTATATCTGATATCAGATATACGTACGTACGTATCTGTATATTTTTGGGGTGTTTTTTTTAAGGGTGGGTTAAAATTTAGGGTTATCGTAGAATATATCACTTCGTCTGTTTTTATACAGGACTTATTTTGTTATTAAATTTTTTTATAAACTGCCGTATAAAAGACCCGGGGGTCTTGTATATAACAGTTTATAGTATTTTTGCCAATTTACACAATCATGTAAAAATAAAAAATGGCGAGGTCACCAACCCCCTTCTTTATTTAATAAATTTTTTTTTTTTGCCGGAATGACAATATGCAAGTATTTATTTTTTGTTTAAAAATTTTTGGAGTCTAATAATGAACCATCATTAGATCTTGTTTTTAAAGTTACAGTATCGATTGTCCTTGTTCCATCATTTCGACACAACAAAACACATGATCTTATATGCACAATACAGCCAGCATTATTATTGACACAGCACGGCATGACCAGCATTACGGGGCAGAATTAAATCACGTGCATGCTGTGTCATAGCGTCACCGAGAATTCAAATGTGCACCATAATTCAGACCACATTACATGACTCGAATAAATTTTCGGCGGCTAAAATGTGATTATTTAGCATCACAGTTTCGTTGTACTGTACGTACAATCAATATAATCATCTCAGCGTTGTTCTTAGGACAATATCTGAAAAATTGATTAAGATGTTTGTGATCACGTAGCCGATGTGTTAATAGCAATAGGTAATGCAATGTGAATAGCATTTTTTTCTGTGTACTGTATGCACCATTGTTAAATTCATTTGAATTCTTTTCTCGCATATTTCTCTTCGGGATTTATAATCAAATTTTTTATGCAATCATTTTTGTTCTTGCGATATATTTCACTTCCACATATGACTAATACTATCTGTTGCGTCCAGAATATGGGAGTGTCATTATCGCTGAATCCATATCAACTTCGATATCATAACATACGACAATGGCGTTATGAATATAGATTTCTTTTCCATCTTCGTAGTTATTGTTATAATATTAAGAGGTAAATGTCCAACTGGAAGATAGACAGATTAATGTTAGTCATGATCCTCGGGTTCGGGGAATTTGAGGCTCTTTCCTGCGATCACAATCTTGTGTTAGATCTTTGGCACCGTATTCTATAAGTTTCATAACCTGCAGTACCCTGATTTGTTAGGAAATCACGGCACCGAGGATCGTTTCTGCCAAAATGGAGTACTAATGTAGTATAAATGGTAGACATTAATTGGATAAATACACAATTTGGTCCTTCCCGCGAAAACTTTTCTGATACTCCAAGTTGCTTATCACCTGATCACACATGTATCTTTATAAAGACGGTTTTATTAACTTGTTATAGCGAATCTATGCGCTCAAATAGTGTAATCAATTAAATTAATTCCAATTCTCATTACATTAGGCAAAATTAAAAGTCAGGCCAGATTTAACGACACTGCCATGTGGAAGAATAACAATGAATTTATACAATTATACTAGAGAGAGTAAATTTAAACTATAATTAGGAGAGTTGGAAGTTCGTCCAAGATAGCCGTCAGTTTCTAGTGTGTTTTTTCTTGTTTGAAAAAAACTGCACTTCAACATACCACCGAAGAGAAGACTGTAGTTCATAATATTATAGTGATTTAATTAGCTGTTTCATTAAACCAACTTTTTATAACGTATCATTTTTTTTTTTAGTTTTTCTTAGAATTGCCGAGGATTAGAGTTCCGAACCGGATATAAAATTGTCTCCCGGATCACCCGTATAATCTGAAATCGGTGAACCGGTTGAAAAAGGTTGGAATAATCATGACGGCGAGAATTATGGATGACTAGTTTTTTTTAAATTTTCGAGGGCGGAGTTCGATTCGATATTATCGAAAAATAAAAAAAAACTGATTCAGTTCGAATCTGAGATCCGGACAATGCATGAAAAAAAATAATACGATAGTACAAATACAAACCTGTAAACAGTGTTGTGACCTGGGAAAAACTTTGATTCGACACCAATTTAGCGCAGGGCCACAGACATAAACTTGGAGACGATGGTGCAGTTAATGTATTCTCTCTTCGTCGTACTCGTTGCGGGTTTTATATTGTTATCATCGAACAATAGTGCCACGCGGTTCTCAAATAAGGTTAAGTTATCCAGTATTGGAATATGCGGTCGATCTGAAATACGAAAGTTTTCTAACTCCACGCGTGCAATTCGACTTTTATGTTTATTTCCTTGGTTATTATACTTGACTGGAGTATTGTTTAGGTACTTCCACCTAATAAGCAAGCACTCAGTGTACTATTAAGATAGTATTTTCCTAAAGCCAATCATTGGCCCGCACTTCTAGTACATATTAGACTTTTAATTAATTTTATGCATCGACCTCTATTTTTACAGGATGATCACCAAAATTCCGAGCCGGATGCATAGGAACTGGGCTGCATTACAGCTGTTATCATTATTCCTGGGACAAAATTAACTCAGCCGATTCGATAAGTTTTTTCGTTATATTGATATTGGTTATCTGGTCATTATCGATTAATAATTATCACTGTTGCATTGTAAATAGAGGTCGTTTAAAGCTACATGAGTTTCAATTTACAAATCGATTAGTAACCAATTTAAAACCCACGTACATACATACCTGGCTTTTAGACTATCTCCGTAAACAATAACTTATCGAATCGGCTGAATAATTATTTGGTTAGTTTTTCATGAAGTGTCCCAGGAATAATGATAACAGCTGTAAGCAATGTTAGCCAACAGTCTATAGCAAAATTATCAGCCGGGCATTTTTATTTAATGAATGGGCTATCGCTATGACTTCATTGGTAAAATTTTTGGACAAAATTAATCCATTCCGGCACATCCGGCCAGATTCTGATGCATTCCGACCCGGAATATTGGTGATCGTTAATGGAGTGCTCCAGTTAATAATAAAACATATAACCCGCTCCGGAGCACTCCAGATATTTTATTATTTGTTTTGTCTCTCATTTTATTACGATGAAGAAACATAAGGGTATTTCCCTTCTGCTATCGAGCAACCTACGCAGATGTTTATAGAATCGTGCAACATGCTCTTTCTTTCTCATTTTTCATTTTCTTTTGTATTATGA